ACCAGAGAAGTTTGCAAGTGGAAGATAAGATGCTTGGTGTTGATAAAGCCAAATCTAAAGGGTAGGGAGGGGGTTGGAAAGCTTAGAGTTAGAAAAAATATGGAGAGGAGAATCATCTGAGTTTGAGCAATAGAATAAAAAACTTCCTGAGAGAGCAGTTAAAGTCTTTATTCTCAGATGTCTGGTGAAATTGCAACAGAAAGTCAGAACTAACCACATAGATACAACAATCCATTTTTCTTTTAAAAATAAAATACATTTGAAATTTTCATACAAAAAAGATTAAATATGCTCATCTCTAATAACCTAGCTTAATGCATATTTGTACCTACCAATACAGCAAAAAAGGAATAATTCAAATTAGCAGTTTATTAGTCAGAAAACCTTTCTAATCACCATTCTAATATGATAAAACAAGGCAAACAAAAATTTTATATTCTGCAGGAGCTCTCACCCAAAGTTAAAATTCAAAGCATCCTACTTACCTGTGACTATGAGCAAGCACACAATGCCTGTTAAGCAACACACTCATGGCAGGGTGGGCACAGGGCTCCAACTTCCACTGCCCAGGAGACAAAATGATCATGCCCATCTCTGTTTATGAAGTATTTTATTTTAAAACTAGACTACAAATTTCTAATCTTTTTCATTTTTTAATTTCCTGAAAGTAATAAATATGTTCTATCTCTATAAGGCCAAGAAGGTGTGACAGAAAAGAGAGTGACTTTAAATACTGTGAATGCAACCTTCAATTAACTGAAAGCACCTAACCCTGAGAGCCACAGCAGAGGAAGGGAGGAGACTCTAGCTCCACTTGAAATTCTTGAGGTGTGTGTAAGCGTGATTTCGAAATGACAGATGCTATATAGAGGAAAATATAAGACAGAGAGAAAATGATGTTTACATAGCCATACATATTTCAAAAGTGACTCCATATTTTTGCTCAAATATTAATCCAACTATCTCTAAAGGGAATTTTAGAGATTCTTCCTGGATTTACACTATTATCTGAGTGTGATTTTTCCCCCCCTCAGAGTACTAGTGAGTTGGTTGATTCTTTCTGTCTGCTACACAGTCTCCTGTTGTGCTCTGTTCTTTCCTAAGTTCTGGTCACTTCATTTAGGGGAAAGCAGACGCTATTGATGACACCATGGCTCTGCCCCTCCTGGACCAACATATTCTGTCCAAACGAGGCTCCCTCCCCTCCCCCAAAAAAGGTTAAGTCAGCTCTTCCAGGAAAGACATTAAAGAACTGTAAGCAACATTAGGCAAGATGGAATGAATGGGTAGGGAGCATGTGAATAAAAATATGCCAATCCATTCCCAGGAACAGATTTGAATCATACATGAGTGGAACAGTGGGATCATGCTTAAAGAAAATATATGTAAAAATAGTTTTCAAGTGCTCAGCAATGATCAGATATCATTATAATTAACTAAAGATTAGATGATATCATGGAAAGTTTTGTTTGTTTTTTTTTCATGTATTATTCTAAGGAAAATGTCAGGATGGCTACACAAGCAGTCACAGATAATTCAGGAGATCTTTAAATTTTTCAGTCTCTATTGATATGGGAAAATCTGTAACTGGATATTCATTTGAATGGCAAATAACATTATATTATAGTATTATTTTGTCAGGCTTTTAACACTTAAGGGCAACATAACACCTGCATAATAGAAGCCTGCAGTCACTGACCACTTTCTGTAAATTTCTTTTACAGGGAAAAAGAAAAGACATCTTAAATATCAGATTAAACACAATAGCAGTTAATTTTTAGCATCCATCATTAGGTGAAAAGGCTAAAGCATCTCTGCAGAAAATTTTCAACAATGATGTTAGACAAATGGGTTTAAAGTGAAATACATAAGCTTCTTCAAAGTGTTGGCTTTGAAGACTGCCTTGGCCAGATATAAAAATAGATGGTTAAAATGTAAAAATCGATTCTAATGGCAAACAGATCACTGCATTTTCCATGCCCAAGATATTAGGAAAACCTGAATATTTGATTTAGTAGCACCTGGGGAGTAAGCCATAGGCCGACCTGAAAACCCTCCAATAACCTTGAAAATATCCACTTCCTCTATCAATGAATGCTCAAAGCAGGCTAAACCTACCCAGCCTCCTTTCCTCCCTTCATGTCCACTGATTAGATGGCATCAGTTGATCGTGGTAAGTGGCTTGTCTTTCTCAAGCAGTGACCAACAAGAGAGGAGACAGGAGAGGGGATAAGTCCTCTGGCCTTCCCAGGAGCTCGCCTCTCTTACAGGCGGGGAGCAAAGTTCCTTGGAGGTCCCAGTCCTTCACCTTTCCCCAAGTTAGCTTTCCACAAGGCTATGGGGGACAGGGAGGTGGTGGGGGAGGGGGGCAAGCTCTAGACTCTGCAGGGGGCCTCCTCTGCGCGGTAGTCTGGAGACGGCAGATAAAACTATCACAACGCCTGAGCTCGCGCGCAGACACACAGACACGCGCACACACGCTGAGTTAGGTTAACCTCTGTCCCCAGACGACGCCTGGAAATCCAGATAAATAAGCTGGAAAGGAAAGGCGGCCAAGGATAGTCACGTCCGGGCCCCTCCAGCTGTCCTGGGAGCGAGGCAGCAGGACTGCTGGCGGTCGAGCGGGGTCTGTCGCCTTTGAGTTCCTGGAAGCAGATACAGGAAGGTCGGACCGCGGAGCGCACGTGCAAGTCGGGGCTCGGAAAGGGGCTGCTCTTGGGGACCAGCTTACCAGTGCGAACACTGCGCCGGGCCCACGGGGTCCCAGGAAGAAGCCAGGGGCGGGAAGGAGGAGTGCGGGGGTGGAGGGTGCAGAGGGGAAGGGGCCGGACCGAGTCGGGACCCCGTGTGCTGACAGAGGTGCCTGATCTGCCCAGATCCCTTGGGAGGCTCCCTCCAGGCCCCTCTGGAGCTGCCGGATCAAGCCTCGTGCCTCGGGGCGCCGGAGCTGGGAGTGCGGCACTCCCAGTACCGCCGCCCCCCCGCCCCCGCCCGCCCCCGGGAGCAGAGCTCCACAGTTCCTACTGAAGGGCTTTGAGATGTAGACCACCAACCATTACTCAGAGCGGTAAGGCCCCCAAACCAGTGACTGTGAAGCATCACGGGCAGGAGAAATGCAAGAGCCTAAACTCAAGGCATGGTCCCTGGCAATCAGGAGTAAATCCTTTTGTTCTTTCACTCAAATAGATGTGCAAGTCACAAAGTGGACCGAGATGGCAGTAGGTAACCACAAGCCTAACTCTTCCTACAGTTACCCCAAGCTGCCACCATGCTAAGAAGGGAGGGTAAGGGTAAGAGGGAGCAAGGAGGGGAGAGAAAGGGTTTGTGGGAGACGGTGAGGAGTGGGCGGAGGGGCTGCGGAGAGGGAAAGAGAGTACTTTCTGACTCCAGTGACACTCCCCAGTCATCCTCCTATTGGCACTGACAACTACAATTTGGCCTCACACTGAAAGCCCCTTGTTAACTCAGGGGCTAGCTTCCATTCGGCATATAGTAAATGTGTCAGGCGCTGATATACAGACGGTCCCCAGACCATGACAGGACCAACGAACCAGACGTAGTCTGGCCCTGTTTTCTGCAATCACTTTCCAAACCTTTTTTCTTGAAACTTAAACCAGCTGGCAGAGAGGTCCACTTCAGCTCTTCCTGGAAACTACACTCCTCATCTACATGCGTGATTATTAAGGGCAAAGATCCTTGCAAAATGGTCCTGCCTGGAAACAAATGGCTGACTAGAGGCCAAGGCCAGCATATGTGCTCTGGCCTTTCCCGCTGTGCGAGCACCCTACTACGCCACAGCCTGTTTCCAGTCTGAGAACCTTCTCGGGTTTTCCATGGGTTCCCTGCACTGGCGTCCCCCAAACTCCTCACTCCCTCAGCGTTTTAATACCGATTACAAAGTCCTCCCGTTAGATGAGATCCATCCTCACAAAACACGACAGAACCACTCTTTCGATTGATTACTTGCACAAATAAAACAACACAGGTGTGATGTTGAGCCCTCAAATTCTGGCTAATGCAAAATGGTGGCCTTTTCTGCAAAGGCCACGCTCTCTTTGTAAATTCAATTGCTACTGGGTAAAAAGTTCTGTTTTCTAGATATACTAGGGAAAAAGGAAAGTAAGGTGCTGTCAGTAATTCCTAGGAGTGGGATCCAATCCAACAGTCACCGTCTACCAGAGGAGAACGCATAATCTCTCACTCCAAGCACAATGCCAAGTGTCTTTAGACCCCACACCCAGTTGCTTGTAACACTCTGCCAGCCCTAGAGAAGGAGTGAAATCCTTGACTGAGAGTCCACGAAGCTCTCTTATGACTCTCCCTTAACCCTTTCCAGTCCTAGGGAGAAGCGGTCCTGCTTTCGAACCCTTTAAAAGACTGTCAGGACGGGTGCCTGTTGGGCTGGACTGGGTCCCCTAGTCTGTAGTGTCAGCATCCAGCAATTTTGTTGGAGGAGCTTCTGTGGAAGTCAAAGAAAGTAAGCAACAGGGCACCGTTTTCCTGTACTACTTCTGTCACAGCTCTGGATATGGGGGAGAGGTGGCGTTTGCAACTTCGGGATCACCGTGTGCTAGGTGCGGCTGGGGACAGGGGAGAAGAGGACTCCAGTACGACCCTGCACTGCAGCTGGACGTCTACAACCGCTTTCCAGCCAGATCTGAATCCTTTGTGTACCAGTCTTCACTCCATGAGAAAAATTCGACGTGTGACAATTCAACACAGTTTCGAGCACATGCCTATTCCATCTCCCGGACTTTGCAGCTGGAGGGTTAAAAGAGCCCACGATCCTGCGCCCCAGCGCATAAAGTGAGAGGGCTGGGGTTCTTGCTCTCGGGATAGCGCGGCTCTGACTCTGCGGGCTCTGGGACAGCGGCACGGGCTTCCCGAACCGAGTCCCGGAACACTAGAGCCTTAAACTTTGGATTCCTCAGAAGCCCGCCCCCATCCCCAGGAATCCCCTTCACCCTCCCAAGTAACCACGGTGAGTGGACCGCACTCACCTACTGTCAGGCAGATGGGGAGCAGCAACCTGAAAATGAGCCCACACACCACTTCCGAGGCCATCTCGACAGTCCGGCGACTCCGAACAAAAGGGGCGAGGCTCGAGGGTCCCTAGAACCGTGGTGCCAGGCCCATGCCCGCCTAAGGCCTCCCGCTGCCAGCGGCTGGCAGCCGCCCGGGCATCGTCTTGGCGGGAGCCGCTGCGCTGTCCGCCTCGAGGGCGCGCTCACCGGACTCTCGGACGACCCTCACCCAGCTCTAGATAGTCCCCTCACCAGATGCCCGACCCCCCACGGCCGGCCCATGAAGTGTAGTCTCCCCAGTCCAGCGGCAGCAGCTTCTTCAGCGGATGATCAGGACCGGAGCCCTGCACGCAGAGGCACTTTGGGAGGGTCCTGGAAGGCAGCGCGGCGAGGGAAGGGGGCGAGGAGGAAGTGCTGTGCTTTTGCTTGGCTCCTGGGGCGTTGCTCAGGGAGGACTGGAGAGGTTTCTTCGTGGAACCTCCTCTGAAGCCTACGAGCCTTGGCAGCCAGGCCCCAGCCCTCTGCCCACGCAGCCCGCCGCGCGACCCTCGTCCCGGGCTCTGAGAGCTGACTGCTGGCCCCCGAGCGGCGCCGCGACGGATCCCTGGGCGGTGTTGTGGTTCAGCCCCCGCGCCTCCCAGTATCGGGCTGGAGAGACCCGGGCGGGAGCTGCCAGGCGTGCAGAACCATCTCTCAGTCACCAGAAAAGAATTGTGCGAGCGTGGGCAGAAATCGAGACGAAAGCTCACAAGGAGTGGGTCAGGCTCCAACTCCTTCCTCCACGTCCTCAATTTAAAAAAATAAAATAACCCAAAGCCTCCCAGATGCCAGCGCGCCCCCGGCCCGCCGCGGTGCAGCCTCGCCCTGGTGGCTCAGCCCCAGCTACCCCGCGGGCGCGCACTTCTCCACCTTCAATGAAACTTTCGAGGCCTCTCTCAGGGACAGGCGTGCCCTGGGGCCAATGGGACGACGGCTCCGGAGCCGGCGTGCGGGGAGCCCGCCCCTGCGCGGCAGCAGAAGCAGGCGCAGTTAGTGGGCGCGGAGGACGAGCCTCCAACCGCGGCGCGGACGCGTAGGGAGAGGCCAGGCCTCTCCCGCACTGTGGGGTTCGCGCGTTTGCTCGCCCCTGATCAGTGCCTTCCACCGATGCTGGCTTCCGCAGCTCTGCTGGGTCGTGTCAGCCTGCAGACACCGGAGGCTCACATCCTGGCACCCTGTCTTCTGGGCGCACCCCTGGGCTTACCCAAACCCAGGGAACCATTTAATGCTCAAACAAAAATGCACAGGCGAAGCACGAGAGCAGCAACTTTGTAGGGCTGTAACTAGTGCTGTAACCACGCTTACCCGTGAGCATTGATTAGGAAGAGTACAACCAGACCAGTGACCCTGTCCATCTTTAATCTTGTGTTGCGCCTCTGAATGGGCTCTGGGAAATCCCAGGTCTCCCCACGAATGGGCACCAGTGTTCAGATGTGCATCCACTTTGACATTTAAGAGAAATCTTGTTTTTGCCTCAGATTGTTTTGTTGTTTGGCATGGTTCTGAGGAAAAAGAATTTAGTTTGTCATTTCTCCGAATAACTTCCTTCTCTCTCTCTGAGATGTAGGGAAATCTGGCTCTAGTTAGGAGAGGTCAATGTGCTAGGGTCCCTTATTTCACGATTATTCAACGGTGAGTGAGATGTGCTGAAACATGGGTGGGATCCTCAGGACCAGAGCACAAATGATCTTTCAATGAGTAGAGAGGCCCATGTATAACTGGTAATTGCATCAAAAGAACAGAGAAACTTTGATTTCCATTCTGCACCAGCATTCTGGGTTTGTACTGGTCTGAAACTATGAAAAAGTCTGCTGATGAACAATATGCAAGCATTCATTCTGTCAATGGATGGTCATTGGCACCAATTCCACTGCAATAAGAATCCCCAATTTAGAATGGGATCTTTGGAGTTTCAGCTCAGCCAGGGAAAGGCAGTATTCAGTGGAAAGGGAAAGTGGGGTGAGGGGAAGCTGGTTTATGTGGAAAGAAGTCCAGAGCCCTGGTCCTTGATGGATCTCATGCAAAAGAGGACTCCAGACCTCACAGTTTGGCCCAAAAGACACTCTTCTGATACAACTCTGATTGGTGGGAGCTCTGCAGCTCTAATTGTATGGGTAGAGCCTCAGTCCTATTGGTTGAAATAGAATTCGAGGAACTCCTTTACGATGGCTGGCTCAGATGGTAGAAACACAGTGCAGGAAGGCAGTTCAGGCTAGAGGCAGGCAGTGCTTCTCTGTGAATTGCAGTTTGCTTGAGAAGCCCCTGTACAGAAATAGCTGTTAGGCTCTGTTTGCTTTTGCTTTTTCTTTTTTTTTTCTTTTCAATTTGACCCAGTTAGCCACCAGGAGCCCTTCTTAGCAGGTATCTTTTTATCTCAGGGTTCAAAGTTCTATGTGTTTATCTCCCTTTTTTAAGATACAGTAAGCTTGTGTTTTGATCTCATGCCTTTGCAAATTCTCTGAGAATGACAAACTGTGAACCACTTTTTTTTTTTATGAAGACTGGAGACAGTGAAATCTTGTGGACACACCTTGAAACTTAGATCATCTATGTGTTCTGGAGTCCTCCAGAGGCTTAAATACTAAACTCCAAACATAATCACAACTCCACCAGTAGGGCTAGGGATGATAGAAACAAATTATCAGCAAATTATTGACTACTATCAAGAAAAGTCTTGTGTTTTGTAGAAACCTGACATAAATCTGCACCCATTTTTCCAGGATCTAGCATTTTGGTGTTCATAGGTGGTGTTCTGTCTTCAGTAAAACTCATTTTGGGGACCTAAACAAGAGCTCCCAAAGTGCCCCTGAATTTTAAATAATATTGCATCATCACATGAAGTCCTCAGTTTTTTTTATGAATATATTGTCATGTGCTCAGTAGGTTTCCCATGTTAACAACAGCCTAGATTTCTTCAAATAACCACCTTAGATACCTAAGTAGGAGACACAGCAGGTAGGTGATCTTACCACTTATACTTTTTTGCTTTCTCTGCCACATTATATGTCAATTTAGCTATTTAGTTTTTTTAGAGATTTTAACACCTGGATTTTACTTCTTAGTTTTACCAACACATATAATGAAGGAGCAGTTTCAACTGTCTAGACTATATCTATATAGGTTCTCTATCCTGGCTGCATGTCATAGTCATTGGGGAGATTTTTGTCAGAATAGAAAACTACTATCTTTATTCACATATCACAATTCAGGCAACATGCCATTGTTTTTCAAAACTAGCATCACCAAAACAAATATCTTTCCAGAACTATTTTTACACTGGGGTCAACGCAGGCATGCATACCCATAGCCAGTGACATTTTCTTTAAAAGGGCTGCTTTACTCTAAAATTTCCCTAATCTGAGAAGCAGCATTAGGTGTCTAGACAGATTTGTTTTTAGGGACTATCCAGCCCACTAGGATATTGGCCCCATTTTCAGGAATCCTGCATATCTAGTGACCTTCATCCTCAATCTGAGCATAATCTTGCCAGAAGTCTGGTATGAGGTAGAAAAGGCATCAGGAAAAAAATAAATAGAACACTAATAAACATATTATTTTGATATCTTACGAGTGCTAACGTATGTGACCGCAAATTTAGCAGAGGTAATGAATTAAGCAGCAGTCAGCTTGTGTCTCTGTGCATCTTCAAGGACAATGGAATGCTTCTCTTGATCACTATTGACATTTTAGCGCCTTAGATTCCTCCTCTGTAAGTTGAGGAAAGTAGTCAAATCTATCTAATATGGAGTGCTATGCTACTAAAGATCATTTATAGAGTGCTTAGAGAAGTGCCTCGTGGATAGTCATAATTCAATAAATATTAGCAGCCGTTGTTGTTGGTACTGTTATCATTGAAAGACAAGCATTTGTCCTACATTTCTGAAGCTGTTATGCTGCAACACAGCAGCCTGCTCTTATATTCAGAAAGACACATGCACTGGCTCTTTGTAATATGTTTAAAAAGTGTGCACAGTTGAGTGATAGATATTTTCCTAAGTGTCTGAGTTTTAGTCATAAAGAATGCTGCTTTGTGCCTTGCATGGATTTCTTCCCACGTGGTTAGCTTTGATCTTTCCTGTACTTGGTTTAACGCTACACTGTTTGACAAAATAATTCAGAAACACCATCTTTGTTCCAAATGATAGTATTCTCTAATATGCTCAATATGCAAACACAAAGTAAATAAACTTTTTCAGTCCTAGGTCAATTACAGTTCTCTTGAATTCTTTGTTAGCTTTTTTTCTTTTTTCTTTTTTTTTTTTTTTTTGGAAGAACTCAGGGGTTTCTAAAGGGTAACTTTACGAAACAGTTATCTCCCAAAGGGATAAAAATTTGTCAACCTGGCATTTTCTTCTCCCATTGAAATCTGCTAAAATCCCTCAGTGCTATCTAACCTGTAGTGACTGTGGTGGCTCTTGACAACTTGTGGATGTTTTCTAGCATTAGTAATGTGTTCTCCTTACACATATACTAACGTAACATTCTTAGAATATACATTTCTATGTGTTTATTTATAAGTAACAATATTTGTTTAGAGGTTATTTTAGTTAGGAGCCACATAGTTGTTGGCTCTTATACTTGAAAAAGACTTGGAAGCAGAATGAAAACCTTTCTTCCTTTTGCTAATATATTCTGTGGTTGCACTTTTTTAAAAAGCTGTTAATTTAATGTTTACAGCAGAAGTATTTTTAAGGTCTCTAAATTCCATAAACAATACAACTTCTAATAATTTGTGAGAGACATCATCTTATTACACTTCTGCTAAAGAGTTTAGCCCCCTTACAACCTTTCCCACAGTCATCCACAGAGAAAATGTATCAAACCCTTCATATATTTTTCACTTCATGGGCTCTGACTCCTGGCCCTTACACACAATACTCCTGCTGGGAGATTATGGTATAAACTTTGTACCATATCCTGAACTACAATCTGTGAGCTATAATACAGACCCAGAATCTGAAAGATATAGCTAATTTGTGTTTGTTGCTTAAGATCCTTGAA